GAGATCATATAAAGTCCCCTCCACTCCAGCCGTGACTCACCTTAACCAGTTACATCTGCAGGGACCCGCTCCATGCCAAGGTCACATATCACCTTTTGAAGATTTTAGTTTGTTGCATTTTATTTTGTTTTATTTTCTGGCTGTTTCCAGGTCCCCTTCCCCAATGTCCGGCACACCTGGTACTGCATCTAGGTGGGCAGCAGCCCCGGGGGTACCTTGCATGTAAAAAGTTGATGGAAAGGAACCCATCCGGGAGGTTTCTGCTTTGGGAGCAGCACCCCGAAGGTGTTTTACAAGGCAGCGGTGCAGGGAGTAAGTGTGGGAATTCTAGCCCAGAGCCCAGAGCCCTGGCCACGTGAACTCTCGTCTCGCTCCCTGGTGATCGCTTCATCTCTCCAGGCTTCTCTGCTTGCCTGTGAGATGCCCAAATAATGTGCAGTCTGTAGATTAGTGTCATATTTGCATAGTTAAAAAAAAAAAACCATGCTAAATTATGAACCACATTTTCAGCAATTCTTAAGATACCCCTTAAAATGAGCTCTTTTTTGCCAGGGACTCTGGCAGGCTGTTCACCCACGGCCTCCCAAGAGCTGGGCTTCCCTCAGGTTTCCTAGGACATATGGCCAGTCACAAGAAAGCCCATCCAAAAGTCTTTTCCTCCTTCAGATAAAGGACCTTTATTTCCTCCTTCCACATCAGAGCACTTGTGGAAACTTCCAGAAGCTGGAGGCTTTGTAAATACACAGTAAAGAATCTGAGTTTATTTCTTTTCCATTGCCTTCAGGAGTCCGCATTTTCACTCCATCAGATTAAAAATTCTTGAATTCTCTTCAGCACTTTAATGAGTGATTCTCCTAGCTTTATTACAGAAAAACCAAAAACCCTTTGTTTTCTTTTTTCTTTCTTTTTTTTGAGACAGAGTCTCGTGCTGTTGCCCAGGCTGGAGTGCAGTGGCACGATCTCCACTCACTGCAACCTCCGCCCCCTGAGTTGAAGCAATTCCCCTGCCTCAGCCTCCCTAGTAGCTGGGATTACAGGCATGTGATACCATGCCTGGCTAACTTTTATGTTTTTAGTAGAGATGGGGTTTCACTGTGTTGGCCAGGCTGGTCTCGAACTCCCACCTCAGGTGATCTGCGCGCCTTGGCCTCCCAAAGTGCTGGGATTACAGGCATGTGATACCACGCCTAGCTAAGTTTTGTATTTTTAGTAGAGACAGGGTTTCACTGTGTTGGCCAGGCTGGTCTCGAACTCCTGACCTCAGCTGATCCACCCGCCTTGGCCTCCCAAAGTGCTGGGATTACAGGCATGAGCCACCACCCTGGCCTTGTCTGTTTTTAATCTGTGACCTTTTACAGCATGTAAAAAAAATCACTTTATGATTGTTAACACAAGAAAACCTTCACTCTGCTCTGCCAATCACAGAATCTCCAATTTGAAAATGAACAACATTGCTATTTTTAAAACTCGGAATGCAATTGATTTGAAAGGTCCTTCTGGCCTCATTTTGTAGAAAGATAAAGTGACTATCATAAATCAACACCAAGTATGGAACCCCTCTGTTAACTTTGGACTCTACTTTGCTATGAGATACAAAGTATCTGGGATTTGGGCTTTTCTTTTTTTTCCCAGTGATTTCAATTTCTTAGTGATGGTATAAAGATGAAGAAGAAAAAGAGATTGATACTTTTGGAGAACATTAAGCCATTTTTAAAAATATATTTTCCTCAAAGATAAAGGAATTTGCTATAGAAATGAATACACTTACTCCCAAAGCAGCATTACATTGTGTTAACTTTAACACCCTTTCCCAAAAGAGGGAACCAAAATGCTTCTGGATTAGCACTCGGACGACTGGAGAAATGAGTATATCTTTCACCCGCAGGCATCTTTAATTACCCAGGACAGAAGGGAGTAAGGAGGGAGGCAAGAGAGATCCCCCCACTCCATCCCCCAAAAAAAGGGAAACAGGGAGGGTAATTTTCCCCGGTTCCTCTTCCAAGGAGCCGTGGCTCAGGAGGCCTGGCTGTCCTGCGGGCACCTGGCTGTGTCTTCCGGGTTCCTTCCCTGAGCCTCAGGACTTTGTCACCTGTGAAATAGGACGAGGTGGAGACCTGAAGTTGCTGAGGGGCAGGATACACGTTTGAATTAATGTTTTTGTCCCTCAGGCCCTGCTACTGGAAGCCCGAGCGGCCCACGTGCCTTTCATCCTGGCCCGCAGAGGCCTGAGTGCTGTCTCGGGCAGTCTGGGCAGTTCTGGGCAGGGCTGGGTAGGGCCCAGCGGACCCCACGGGCAGACCCTCGCCTCTTCCCAGCTATCTGTCTGTCGTCCCTCTTCGTCCCTCTTCTCCTGAGGTGCTGTCCCAGCCCTCGGGGGGAGGCAGTCGCGGGCAGCTCAGTCAGCAGCGCGTCCAGGGGTGCCGGAGTCTCCTGTACGCCCCGCAGGAAGCTGTGCTGCCTGGGGCCCTCCCCTCGTCCCCTCCTCCGTCCCTGTCCTTCCCGTTCCGCGGCGGGAGGTGGCGGTGTGGGTCTCCCGGGAGGTGCGGCAGGCTGGGGAGGTGGGGAGGGGTGTGCTGCGTGCTGGGGGTGGGGGGACAGACCTGCCGCACCCGCCCCGCTTCCCCAGCCCTTGGTTGCTATGCAGTTTCTATGGCAGCAGCATCCTCAGACTCAACTTTCACCCTCATTTAGAGCCAATTAAGGTAAAATAGTGAGGGGAGGAGGGAAGAGCATGGCCAGGGAAGGGAGGGGGGAGAGGCAGGAAATCCAATTCGAAGCTGCTAGTGCAGCGTTTACTCTGCCAAAGTCGCAGTACAGATTCTGAAGCCGCAGCGCCGTCCCCTGCTTTCCTCGCCCCAGCTTGAGCGGGAAGCGGCAGCAGCTCCCCAGAGCCCTGACTTGGCAGGGAGGGGACGGGCACCCGAGCAGCCATATTGCAGCCCCCCGGGTCCCTCCTCCCGGGCAGCCGCGGGCCCCGCACTCACGACCTCCTGTGGGAGCCGGATCTGTCCTCTCCATCGCCGCCACCCGCCAGCCTCTGCGTCCCTTGGCTTCTGACATCCCTTCTGGCCATCCCCCTGTGCCGGTCCGAGCCTCTATTTATTTCCTTTCTTACTATCAATACTTGACCAGCAGAAAAGGAAAGTTTAAAAATGCCGATCGCACAGTTGCTGGAACTATGGAAAAAAATCGAGGTGGAGCCTATGGAAATAGAGGTGAGTGCAGGAAGGAACGCACTTTTCACAGCATTCTCAAGAATCCGATCTCCGCAGCCGATGCATTGCTCATTTACTATAATCAGCTCATGTTTATTAGGTGACTACGATGGGTCAGAGAGTTGGGTGTCCAGTGTGTGTGGATGTATATGTTGCGTTGTGTACGCACATGGATAAACATTGCGAGTGTACACACACGGCATTGTGTGTGGTGTAAATACATAAATGATAATGAGTACAAGAAACAAATTGTTGCCCTTAGGGAAACTTCAGGATGCTTCTTAAAGTCTGTGTAAGTCTTAAGTATTCCCGTTTCCAAACTAATCTGCATCAGTTTGATTTTCCTTCAACAAGTGGCTTTAAATTAGAAGCCTTCCATTTGCTACAGTGAAAGATGAAACCAGAAGGCAAAAATCAATGATGAATCAAGGAACAGAGAGCATAAAGATAATGTGATCTTAAACGAGAAAAGATAATGCAACCTTAAAAGGATGAATGGTCAGATAAAGAGGTGTGATTAAACATAAATAGAAAAGATAATGAAATCCAAGTGTTCCTTGCCCATCCCAGGGCTGGTGGGTGTGCAGGAATCACTGCTGAGAGTTTTTCACTCCATGCTTCCCTGGGGACATGCAAACCTCTGCTGCACGGAATCTGATTTGCTCCATTTGAATTGGAGATGGTCAACATACATTTTCCTAGAAGAGAAAGTTCCCCAAATTTATTAACATCTACTGAATTATTAGATATACCTGCTCTGTGTTTATAGCAACTCAAATGGCATTTAAACATGGTTCACTTTTCATCACTCACCAAACCTCAAAATCCAATTTAATTTTTGCTTATCTCCTACTCCTAGCACTGTATTTATAAATTCAATGCTATTTTAAATTCTGTTTATTTTTGTATGTATGTCTTGAGATAGTCACCTAACATAACTTTAAATTGAATGGGAGATTCTGTTTTAGAAGAGAATTTACTTAATGCTTCATATTGAATACTTGCCTTGGAAAGGCAAACTAAATAATGCTTGACATATGTATTGATGTTTAAGAGAGATTGTTGGGCATAGCACAGACATTAAAGGCCATTTGTTTTAGATGGAACAGCCCAGATACATACTGCTGCTTATGGACAGTACCTGAGGTGGGAGAAGGACGACACCAGGGCTCCTTACTGTTTTACTGATTCTTGTGTTTGTACATGGGGTTGTTCTTGGTGTTGAGGACAATGTCTTGGAAAGATCCAGTCCCTTACTGCGGTTGCCATTTCAAGTCTATTTTTTCTGAGATTCAATTTTTCTAAATATCGAATTAGTGAATGAGCAAGTGATTAGCTAGAAGTTCTTTTCTCATTTTCTAGTGCTTCCTATAGCCCTGTCTGGTCATCGTCAGCACATTTGCTTGTGCTGAAGCTGGAAGGTGCTCAGCCCTCATGAATGAAGGGTTCATTCAGAGGGAGGATTCCGCCCTGGGCTCAGAAAGGATGGGAGAGAGGGGACAGGGGCTTTACAATTCCAGGTGGGACCCTGGTCTGCACATTATTTCCAGTGACCAAAGCCATGAGGAGCAGCTCATGTTTCCCGTATTTCTCAAATTGCTCATAAATGGATCGGCAATGAATAGATTCACATGATTTGAAAACTATGCCATGAGCCTAGAATGCACTTGCAAGTGGCAAGAATTTGGAGCTGAGTTGACTGATAGCCTGCCCTGCCTTGCCAGCCCCAGGAGAGGGCAGATGGTAACAGTTTTGAGGAAAATTGGATACATTAAATAGCCCCTGAAGCAAAATAAATTTTTTTCAGGCTTCTTAGCTAAATTTTTTCAGGAGAGCATAACTGGTGGAGTATGGACAGTGTTAAATTCCTATTTACTTGGAACCCAGAAAACTAGAGTTCTTTCTCTAGAAAAATGAAAGCTTAAATATTAACCCTGAGGTACTTCAAGTTTCTAAGGAAATTTCCAAATCCACAAAATCCTCTGTGTTTTGGAATTCAGAGGCTGATTTTACTCTCTAGTTTTGTCCATGTTTTATGTTGTATGGTATCAAAATAACTCACATCAGGAAATGTGGCACAGCTATATGGAGCATATCTGGCCTCTGAACTCCAAATTAAATGCCCTAAAACCCTTGCAGGAGGAGTCTGCATGCTTTTCTCATCAGAAAATCTGCTAAGAGATTGTAGTGCTTATTTTTTAGTGATTTAGTTTAGATTTTAGTGCTTTAGTTCCTTGCTGTTAAGCAAATGTGACACGGCTGATGATTGGATTTCCAGGGACAAGAATCGGCATTCCTGGATTCATGTTTTGCTCTAACCACCTTTTCGAGTTGCTATCCTTTCTGGCCTGTTTTCCCAGCTGTAGTCTGAGAGACCTGAACTGAATTGGGTCTGAGGTCCATTGTACTAGAGAACACTGCATACAGTTTATAAAAATTGTAGACCAGGGGAGATTCATCTGACTGTCCAGGGGAAGTCTTTGTGGTTCTCTGCGTTGTTCCGAGATATTTCAGATGATATAACTTACCCATAAATGAGTGTGTCGACAAGGAGACATACTAATTAAGAGCCAGAACCTCCAGAAAACCCCTGCAGAATCTAGCATGAAAAAGAAACATGTAGTATTTCATGAATTATGTTCTGGCAAGTTGAAGGCACGTCTCAAACGCAGGACTTTTCAATCATTGCTTTCAGTGGGGTTACAGCAGCCAAGGGCGTGCTTTGGGGGAAAGCAAGAAAATGGGAGAAATGATGAGTAAGGCAAGTCCATAAGCCAGTCCACAAGGTATGGCTGACCCATTTTATTTGTGTTCTCTTGGAGGAATAAGCATGATTTTTTCTCTCTGGGATGTCATAATACATTAGATTGAGAAAGAGAAAATCCATTTTTAAACAATGCAGATCAAACATGATTCCTTTGAAGATTCATAGTCAAGCTTGGATAGAGATGATTATCTCCTGGCTACTTGGTGAGAAGATGAAACTAGAAATAGTAATAACGACAGCAGTTCACTTTGAGTGTCTACTGCATAACAGCCCGTGTTGATGGCTGGCTGGTGTTCCTCCACGGAGCTCTCCCCACATGTCTAGGTAGAAGCACTGCCATGTCTCCGAGGCCCAGGTTAAGCAGTTGGCCCCAAGTTAAGTAGAAACCAAAGACTCAGACCCAGATGGATCTGCTTAAACCACAGAAACACTTGCTTTATGTTTTATGAGCTGGGCCTCATTGCTATGCTGGAATCCATTCTGCCAGCACTCACTACGGACTGATTTGGTTCCATTCTCATGGGAGTGGTCACACAGGCCTTCACTGCTGCTCTGTGCTTCCACGTCAGCTCTGTTCGTTTTTTAGCTTCATGAAAATCCATGTCTTCTCCACTGGCAAGAATCACCTTGTCCTTTAGATTCACCTTGTCCTCCTTTAGATTGTGCTGTAAGTCACACTCACTTCATTGATTTAGTCGTTTGAGTTAGAGTTTAGTCTGAATACTCCTTGCCTTACTTACCACCTGTTATATAAAGGATCCATCTTGGGCATGAAGCATCACACAGTTGCACATAAATTCAGGTAGGAAGAGACGGTGATATGGTTTCCACGTTCTACATAACTCATGGGGGATATTTAGTTAGTACTTTTTCGTATTGCAAACCTGTATGAAGCCATCTACAAACACATGGCAATGCTAACCATCCTTAACATCTGTCTTTGTTACCAGACCACAGAGGAGGATCTCAACGTGGATGCTGAACCGGCCACAGAAGACACTGCAGAAGAAGTAATTATACACGTTTTATTACAGTCTGCTTTGTTTGGGGAGATTGGGCCCAGAAGGTAGTGAAGGGGGAAATGGAAGTTTGAAATTAAATATCTGCGAGCAATTATTTTAGTGACATATGTGTCTCAAGACATATACACGCACAAATATATATACATGCACATGTACATATTATGTGCTTATTATATTCAGTAATCTCCCTCAAAAGGAATAGTTGGAGCATAGGAAGGAAGGGTGTCAATCGAGGTGAAGTTCGTGGTCTCCTGGCACGGGTGCTTGTGAGGGGCATGGTGCATTAGTACCAGTCAAGGAGGCCTGGGAGTAACCAGCTGGCCTGGAAGGCTGGTGTGGGGCTCCCCGTACTGTGTCATGTGACACAGCTGCTTAAAATGTCTGATGAAGAGCTCAGCAGAGCTGGGGAGAAAAGCGGATTCCATCTGTGGGAGTTGCCTTTCCAGTGGGCGGAGAAGTGTCCCAGGGCCTGTAGGGGTTGACTGGGAAAGAAGGAAAGAGAGAATATCAGCCTGAGGTGGACATCAAATGGAAGAGAAGAAAGAGCTCTTGCTTCTGCAGGCTGTGCATGGCTTCATTTTCATGCCGTGCAGGAGCTTGGGCCTGACCCAGGCAACAGAAAACAGACGTAGACTTTAATAAAGTAAAAGTATCTCAGCAACACTGGTGTTCTCAGGGGAGATTTTGATAACAATAAGCATGTCCATCAGGGAGACACTGGACACAAAAGAGCTAAATTCGAAAGCTGAGTTGAGGCTGTAGTGAAGGCTTTGTAGTTACACAGCCACACTTCCACCACTAGGAAAGGAAACGCTCTCAGAGGTGGCTGGAGCCATGGACCATTGACTTGGCCATTAAGAAGACTGAGTCGCTCAGCCACATGCCACCTGCAGCCAGAAAAGTTAGAAAATTTGCAACTCTGTTGACTTTTAAGATAGCTGGCAGATATTGTAGACTGGAAGGGCTGGATCGATGAATATTACTGGTTTTAGAAAATGGTCTGCTCAGATGCTGAACGCTGCATTTCACTACCATCTAAACCTATGCACACCAATGCAACATTTAAGCCAAGTGTCACTGGATCTTAGGATCCGATGACATAGTCCACTGGTTAAATGAAGAAAAATAGCGTTCGGCTGCCTTGCGTTTATCCAGCTGCCTTTCGGTTCTGTGCGTTTTCGCTGATGTGGGAGTCTAGATTCCGGCTCTTCTAGCTGTGCAGCGATCCAGCTGCATTCTTAAAACACTATGCTTGGCCTGGCCTTGTACCTTTGCATCCCCTGGGAGAGTAGACAGCGCCACTTTTGCCAGTTCCATGAAGGTCAAAGGGTAGGCAGACGAGGCAGTGACTTTCCTGAAAATGTGATGCGCAATCTGATACTTGCAAAGTGGTAGGAGTGGGAAAGGAAGGTGTACCCTCCCTGCAAATTCGTAAGACAGCAAATTCATAAGGCCAAGGGTTTCAGAGAAATAACTGGCTGTCATTTTTCAGAATACTTTTCTAGGCTTTCGTGGGAACTCTGATTTCCAGGGAACTTAGTGCGTTTACTGCAGGCAGACTAATGTGATGACTTAGTAGTTGGCTTCAGGAGGCTGTCGACAGGGCCCTGAGCCAGGATGGGTGCAGCAGACTCTTCATTCTGCTAGGTTCAACCGGAGCAGCAAGATTCCATAACACCATGTCCTGCTGCATTCAGGCTGCCATAGCAGAATGCCACACTGGGAGGCTTCTACACAACAGAAAGGTATTCTCATAGTTCTGGAGGCTGGGAAGTCCACAATTAAGGCATGGCAGGTTTGACGGCTAGTGAAGCACACTTTTCTGGTTCATGGCCAGCCTTCTTTACCCTGTATCCTCAAGCGGTGGAAGGGACAAGGGAGCTCTCTGGGGTCTCTTTGATAAGGATACTAATCCCATTCATGAGAACTCCACCCTCAAGACCTAATGACCTCCCAAAGTTCTCACCTAACCTTTATTGCTAGGATTTTAACATGTGAGTTTTGGAGAAATACAAACATTTAGACCATAGCACATTATATGCCCAAAAGTGCTTATACACAACTAACAAGAAATTATTTCATTAACAATATTTAAGAGCCTCCTAGTCTCAAGTTGTCTTGTTCTCTACATTTTTGATGGAAATCTAGATGTGAATCTATCATAGAATGTAATGAAAGAAACCAACCTCTTTAAAAGTTTTTTTTGATAATGGAATATGAGATGGAGGAGATTATTACTGTTTCTGGATGCTTACTGTATCTGAATAACAGAAAACCAGTATATCTTTGCATCTTAATAAATGAAGGAATAGAGTTCCAAACAGATTTTAGGAGTATTTTGCAGAACTATAATATTGATATTTGGATACATTTGCAGTATTTGTGGGAAGAATGAGAAAATACTGGAGAAAATTATTTGTTTACTTGATGTTTCTGATAGATGATGCTGAAAACCCAACATGGAATGTTTTAGTCTAGCTGCAGATGAATGTCTTTTGAATACTCTATGATGTTGTTTTAAGTTTTGTTAGAGATAAGCTTTTGACATCCTTCTTGGCCTCCAGAGTGGTTATTTGCAAGGTCTTCTCTAGGTGAGGGATTTATGGCTCAAATAAAAGAGCCATGTTCTGAACAACAATCACAAAACCCTTTTTCTTCTTTCTTCTTCTTCTTCTTTCTTCTTCTTTCTTCCAAATGCAGTTTTGTTATGTGGATATATTGTGTAGTGGTGAAGTCTGGATTTCTAGCCTAGCCATTACCAGAACAGTGAGCATGGTACCCGACTTATGATTTTTCACCCTCACCCCCACTCCCATGCTCCCACCTTTTGTAACCCAGTGTTTACTCTTCCTCCTATATATTCATGTGTGCTCATTCTTCAGCTTCCACTTATAGGTGAGAACATGCGGCATTTCTGAGTTATTTCACTTAGGATAATGGCCTCCAGTTCCAACCACGTTACTGCTAGAGGCATGATTTCATGCTTTTTTGGGGGCTGAATAGTATTCCATGGTGTATCTGTACCACATTTTCTTGATCGAATTCTTTGTTATTGGACACTTACGTTGATTCCATGGCTATGCTGTTGTGAATTGTGCTGTGATAAACAGATAAGTGCAGGTGTCTTTTTTGTATGATACTTTCTTTTCCTTAGTGTAGATACCCAGTAGTGGGATTATGGATCAAATAGTAGTTCTGTTTTTAGTTTTCTGAAAAATTTTAGTATGTGTTTTGTAGAGATCATGCTGATTTACATTTCCACCAACAGTGTATAAGCGTTCCCTTTCTCTACATCCTTGCCAACATCTGTTGTGGTTTTTTGGAAAAAGAGAGAAATTTTGTGGCAACTAAACTGATAAACTTTTCATGCCTGTTGCCAGTCTGAACACATATGACAAAAAGTCATCTTATTTAGGAAAAAAATCATTCAAGTCAGCGGCAGTTTTCCCATCATTTATTCAGCCAAGAATATTTATTGCTAATCTGTAGGCCAGGCATTATCGTTCATGGAAAAGAAGAAAAAGGTGAGCGAGGCTTGCCCTGGAAAAGCGCAGGAGGCGCTGTGATCACTCCAGCTTGTGAGTACTTTCACTGATACGAGTTTCGTGGTGCAGGCGTCTCACATAGTTTTTGAAGTATGGAAGGCATTTGGGATAGATCACGTATGATATCTAGGCATGTGATTCCTCGCGTTACAGTTCTGTGCAGCTTCCGAGAAGGTGAGTTCTGGTGAAGGTACAGTGCGAAGCTTGGGCGTAAGACAAGATATCTGTTCTCCAGCTTGGGTGTTACTGCAATACACCTTTATTCACCATTGCTGAGGGAACAGCCTCCTCCCTCAGGAAGGCAGTAGCAATGTGGGGGAGTTTGTGTTAGAAATTCCTGGGATGGGTGGATTCTTGGTCTAATTTCATCTGACGCATCAGAGGCGGCAGGCATCCTTTCTATTCTGAACAACAACCACAAAACCCAGCAGATTCTGTCAGGAAATACTTCTTTAAGGGATTACTTGAAGGGCTCTGTATAGTGACATCACAGTCATGGAAGAAAAATCTGGAAGGAGAATGACGCCTGTGGGCAGGCGAGGCCCTGGCTCCCTGAGGTTCTGGGCTCTGCTCTTCCTCCCTCCCTCCTGCAGGCCGTGCATATGGAGGCAGAGAAGCACCAGGGATGAGAGCGCCTCCATGAGGCGACAGCTTCGTGTGGGAAACAAGCTCATGGCTCGCCTGGGGACTTCCCTGCAGGCCTAACTGGGTGGACTTGTTTGAGGGTCTAGAGGCAACTTGCTGCCTTGTTGCCTGGGAACCTGATCTGGACGTTGGGCCAAGTGTACTCAAACGAACCTCACAGCCACACTCGTGAGACTTCGGTGGGCACAAAGCCGAGCACTGATCTGTGTGGGATAGGACGTGGTGGCGGCGCTCGGCCAGCCTCCTCTGAGCTGCTGTGCTGGCGGTTGGGAGGGCTGATGCTGTCCTGATGGAGGAGGAGAGCCAGCTTCAATGGCTTTGGGCCAGGAGAGGCCCCACCTGTCCACTTCCATGGCACAGAGGTGAAGTCTGTGCAGCGTCAGGCAGCGCCCACCTCCCAGGTCTCTGTGCTGTTTTGTTGTATTTGTTCCCTATGTGTTCTCAGATTCATAGATGATTTTTAGGTGAGTTTTCATTTCACAGAACAACCTTTGAAAAATATTAGAATTTGTTGCATGAATTTATTTTTTTATTTTTATTTTTATTTTTTTTAGACACAGGGTCTCACTATATTGTCTAGGCTGGTCTCGAACCCCTGAGCTCAAACTATCCTCTCGCCTTGGCCTCCCAAAGTGCTGTGACTACAGGCATGAGCCACCACACCGGCCCTGTTGCATGGATTTTTAAAGTGCTTAGATTTCAGGGTTATGTTTATTAATAACAATAGGACCATTTTCTTGTCAGGTCAACTCTAAAAAACCAGATCTAGGTGCTATTGAAAATGTTAGCATGATTCCA